GCGCATATGCTCCCAAACCCAATATCCAAGTTCAAATACAACTTTCTTGCGTCCTTTGTTGGCTTGTTTTGCATACTGCTCAGTTCGTCGCTCTATGTTTTGTCGCACCCTTTCATGTAGTTGCTTAACCACTTCAGCTTTCTTTCTCCCATCCAAACTAGCTTGTTCGTCAATAGGTAAAGGCAATAAATCTAAAGGAGTGAGTGGATTAAAACCATACACAACTTCAAATGGTAAACAGTTGTTGCTGAATGGATGCTCAGATTATAAGCAAATTCAATGTGCAGCAAACACTCTTCCCAATTCTTCAAGTTCTTTTGAATAATAGAACGCAATAAGGTTGACAACATCCTATTAACCACTTTTTTTTGTCCATCAGCTGAAACAAAATACCCTAAATAGACAATATGATTTGTGCAAAAGGAATACTTTTTAAGGTTAGCAAACAACTTTTCTTTTCTCAAAACCTCAAGTACCATATGCAAATGCTCAATATGATTAGTTAAACTCTTACTATATATCAGAATGTCATCAAAATAAACAACCACAAATTTGCCAATGAAAGCACGCAAATCATGATTCATTAATTGCATGAATGTACTAGGTGCATTAGTTAATCCAATTGGCATAACTAACCACTCATATAAACCATGTTTCATTTTAAAGGCTGTTTTCCATTCATCACCTTCCTTCATCTTAATCTGATGATACCCATTATTTAAATCAATTTTAGTGAATATGCAAGAACCATGCAGTTCATCTAACATGTCATCTAATCTAGGAATAGGGTGACGATACTTTATAGTGATTTTGTTGACAGTGTGACAATCAATGCACATACGCCAAGTCCCATCCTTCTTAGGCACAAGTAACACTGGAACTGCACATAGACTCATGCTTTCTCTCACATGCCCCTTCTTCCTGAGTTCTTCAACCTGCTTTTTGAAGTTCTTTCGGCTCATTGGCGTTGCTTCGATATGCTAGTTGGTTTGGAATTGTTGCACCTGGAATGAAGTCAATCTGATGCTCAATTCCTCTTATTGGTGGTAAACCATTAGAGATGTCTTTTGGAAACACGTCCTTGAAGTCCTGCAAAGGAGATTTAACAACACTAGGCAAAGAATCATTAAGTTCGTTAGTGTTGAAATAAGCATCTTTATATAGAAGCACAAACATAGGCTGCTTTGCAAAGAACGCAGCCTTGACACCACTTTCCTTTGCATAAACACTCACTAATTTTCTCTCTTTATTTTCAACACTTTCAATCTTTTCTCTCTTTTTGGACTCTTTTTTTGTTGTTTTCTCTTTGTTTTTCATACCCTCAAGCTTACTCTCATTTCTCAGCTCACTCTCTTTTTTTACTCTCAATTGATCCTCATAAACCTGCCTTGGACTCAATGGTGCAAGACTAATTGTTTTCCCCTCCATAACAAATGAATAGAGATTTTTGAAGCCATCATGTGTTACCGTCCTATCATATTGCTATGGTCTCCCCAAAACTAAATGTCCAGCATGCATAGGAACCACATTGCACAATACCTCATCCTTATATCGTCCGATAGAGAATGAAACCAGAACTTGTTTATTTACCTTAATTTCTCCACAATCATTTAAACCATTGCAACTTATATGGCCTTGGATGCTTCATCATAGGTAAATTAAGCTTTTCAACCGAAACAGTGCTAGCTACATTAGTACAAATGCCACCGTCAATAATCACACTACATACCTTATTTTTGATATGGCACCTCGTGTGAATATCTTGTCGCGTTGTACTTCATCATCTTCTTTGGCTTGCACATTCAAAGCACGCCTGGTGACAAGCAGTTCTCCATCAATAACATATTCCATGCCATCATCAGCATCTTTCAATGGTGACATAGAGTCATCATCAGATTCACCCTCTGTTTCAATTTCTCCATCCTCTTTCAAGATCATCATGTGCTTATTAGGACATTGCGATGCAACATGCCCCCTTCCCAAGCATCGAAAACACTTGATGTCTCGGTTTCTGCCTTACATATTATCTGTTTTACTCTTCTCATTGCTGCCAACTTCTTTTGACTTAGATGCTGCAGTTTTAGGCTTAAAAACAAAATGTTCTTCCTCTTTGCTCCAATTCAGTTTCCAAGAAGATGAGGAACCTGAATTTTGCCTAGTTCTGGTGGTGGCTCCTTTACGCTTGAGTTGTCGTTCTACTTTCATCGCCATATGCACCATATCTTCCAATTCCACATAATGCTGCAGCTTTACCACATTAGCTTTATCATGATTTAAACCATGCAGAAACCGTGCCATAGTTGCTTCTCTGTCCTCTTCCACATTCGCTCTAACCATTGCGATTTCCATCTCTTTATGATACTCCTCAATGCTTTTGGACCCTTGAGTAAGGCCCTGCAATCGTTGATAGAGATTGTGGTAATAGTGACTAGGAACAAATCGTTTTCTCATCACAGCTTTCATCTATTCCCAAGTGTCAACAGGACACTCTCAATTTCTACGTCGACTAAGCACAAGCTGATCCCACCAAACCACAGCGTAATTAGTAAATTCTACCACTGCTAGTTTCACCTTTTTCTCCTCAGAATAGTTATAGCAATCAAACACCAATTCCACCTTCTTTTCCCACTCCAAATACACATCTGGATCATTTTTGCCTTGAAACGGAGGAATCTTCATCTTGATGCTACCTAAGTCACGATCTTTCTGATCTCCCCACCTCGTCAGATTTTGCTCTCTTTGGCCCCCTCTATCTCTCATAATTCTGTCCATGTTGAAATTTGAGTTCTGGGCGTCATTGTTGCATGCATCTTTATAATCATCATCGAAATCATCATTAGCATCATTTCTACGCAAATTCAGACTTCCATTCTGTGTTTGGTATAACTTGGCTATCGTTGCATCTTGTTTCTCCATTTTGTCTTTAATCTCACCAAACATGATATCCAGCCTTTGAAATTGTTGTTGCATTGCTTTGAGCATGAAGGATTCATCCACATGGTGGCTTCTAGTAGTTGATTTGTCATCACCGCTTGACATGATTGAAACCTACAACAAATGTTAGAAACAGAAGAATAAAAAGGACCTCACAACACTCCCTTACATGTTTCACTCAACTCTCTCACAGAATGGCACTCAACGCTCGTGTTTTACACACTATAGAACTTGACTTTTCTCTCAAGTGTTGCTCACACCACTTGCCTTTTTCCCTCACTCAACTTTCCTTTTTCAGTTCGTTATTAAACTAAACAAGTTCAATTCAAGTTATTTTGCAGCAATCTAACTCCAACAAATCTGCAAGAGTTAAAGGAACCAGAAAGACATAAAGGAACGTACAAGAAAAGAACCAAACCTAAACAAATTAAAACGAAGAGATCAGTTCAAGCACTTCCTAGTAGGAATTGACTTGACTATTCCTTAATGCAGTAAGATTCTTAACTTAGGAAGGAATAAATAAAATTGCTATCTCCTTATTTGAATAGAACTCAAGGAGAATTTCCAACTCCTTATTGGAGTAAGATTCCTTCTTCTTTAAGGATTTGGCCACAGATTTCTTCTCTATATAAGGAATTCCAACTACAGAATTGTGTTGCTTGTTTCTCTCTCCTTTTTTTTTCATTTTTTTTCTTCCTTTTTTTTTTTTTTTTTGCGATTCTTCCTTTTGTTTTTTTTCTATGACTTCTTTCCTCTCTTTTTTTTTCGTGCTTTTCTCTCTCTGATTTTTTTTTTTCAAAACCAACAACACAGATTCAATAGAACAAGACAAAAAGAGTTGCAGACAAGAAAGAAAAGAACCCTAATTTTTTTTTTTTTGATGTAAAAACTAAAAACTAAAGATATGCAAACCTGATTTAGAACCTAATGCTTTGATACCAAGATGATGAGGACCCCAAAGAGAACAATGAGACCCACAGCACGACAAGGGATTTCTAAACTCCAGGAAATTTAAATCAGGTTTATAATAGGACCTTGACCCGTTGTTTATGTCGCAACAAGAACTAAAGGTAAAAACCTTGACCCGTTGTCTATGATGCAACAAGAACCAGAGGTATAAAGTTGGTTGATGCCACACCCTCGAACAATTAAGAACGAGAATGATAAGTCAGGTTAGAATGCCACAAGAATAATCTTGATAAATTCTGTAAAGTTCTGAAACGAACCAAAGAGAAAAGTCTCTCAAAATCTCAAATTCAATCGCTTCCTCCCCATTAGGGTTACAAGCCTTTTAAATAGAGAAAACAAATCCTAATCAGAATAGGAAATTAACAACTTAAGTCCTAAACCTAATAACCACGAATTGGGCTTCAAATAAGCAAATGTTCAGCCCAAAATAATACAAAAAAAATGTGAAAATCACTAAAAATAATCTAAAATAACACGAAATATCAGTCTGCTACAAGTTACGGCAGAATTATGCAATTTTGACGCAAACTGTGTGATTCCGTGCAAATGACCCTGAACTTCTCTTGAACCTGAATGATGTTTACCATGCCTTGATAATCATCTAAGCTTCAATTTGCTTGTTTTATGTTGTTTTCAACCTAGATCTGCTCAATAAAGCCATCTAAAGCTTCACGCATATTCTCAACTCTAGCTCACGTGATTGGACCTCCTTGGGTGTGTAATGGATCACATGACGTAATAGATATGCTGTCGTCTTGATTCCCATCAACAAGTCCATTGAATTTTGGTTGGTTAATGATTCCACTACTATGCTTTTCTCACCTGTTTCTCGAGGTTGGACCTACGGAAAGATTATCTTTTTGCCTAATCTTCTCATTCCTTTTCCAATTCCCTAATCTTCAAATCCACAAATCTTTCCCCTTCTCCCAAGCAAACCCATCTCTTCTCTCTCATTTCTTCCTTAAAAATCTCTCTATCGAACCCAAAATGGAAAGGAACAGCTTTTACAACACATCATGAGCTAATCAGTGGGACTGCAACCAAAGCTAGCCCTCTTAGACCAAGAAGAACAATGGCAACAATAGTATTGATTTGATTGCTAAGTATAAACAAAAGGTTGGAGAAGGGCTGGAAAGGATCAACGCAGTGGATTGAATCCACTTGAAGGAAGTCAAGGAAATGACCTAGGCTAGCCAAATGATCACCCAAGTTTGATCAGACCATGGTTCTTAGTGAGGGGTATGAGAGAAAAAGAAGAAGCGTAGATCTTAGTTTTGGGTTTTGAGGAAGCCTAGGTTGAGTATGTACCAGATAATGGTGTGGTAAGCAGAGAGAGAATAAAGTAGATTAAGGTTTTAAGGAAGAAAATGAAAAAAATAAAAGACAATGGAAAAAGAGGTAGAATTATAAATTGATACATTTTAATTCATTAATATTTATTGGTTTCTTGCCATGTCATGCATTTTATCCTGTTGTAAATCCTATGTATTTAATTTTTTTTACATGCCATAATTCCGTATCAACTAACCAGCGATTTTAGCTTAAGTTTAACAAAATAACCAACTTGGTGCCAAATTACAAAACTTTAGGGACCAAATTAGAGATTTTTTAGTTGAGGGACCAACCCAGATGTCTATACAATAGTTCAGGGACTAACTTTAGGGGCTTAACCTAATTTTGCATTCGTAACTCTTATTAAACCCTTAAAATTGAATATCTAGGCAATTAGGTCCTCTAATAAAAGCTTTTTTTAATTAAGTCTTATCTTCCCCAATTATATGTTATTATTATTGTTTTACAATTAACTCATGCCACATAAGCCTTTTTAAGAATTTAAATGCTTAGAAAATTCAAGGTATTACAGGGTCAATCTAGTGCACTGACTAGCTTTAAGTCACCAAAATGCAATACATGATTTCATGAGAAGAAGCCTTGTCATCTAAAAAGGTATCATACACAATAGTCTTTATATCATTATTGTCCCATCTCAAATAATAGATATGATTAATGGATAATTCAAGAATGTTGCTATTGCATCATACAATTCTTACTAATAGTAATGACTATCTACCTTTTGATGCAACTGACATAGTAAAGACTCTATTCATATTAATGCATGCAAAAGAATGATTATTACTATATGATAAATAAATGCCTCATATATAAATATAAATGTCGTAATCATAAGTACAAATAAAGTTGGATCAAAGGGACACTCTAATAGGTTGTTAATGCATAATATTGCTAGAAATTTCGATGTTCTCTCTACCTTGCTTTTGCTCCAAAATTACATTAAATATGAGTTTCTATTCCTTAATCTTTTTAACATATGTATCGAAGTTAGAAACCATTTAATTTGCTGCAATTTCTGATTTGATTTTTTGCTACCATTTGAATTAGATTTTCCTTGTTGTGTTTGGCGACTATTTTACTAGGTTTTAAAGGCTATAGACTGTTATTTGGGGATGCTTGCTATGCATTAGTTTCTACCAAGTTTGAGGCTATTTGTAGGATAAAATTCTAGTGTATTTAGTTGCCTTTTACTTACTGTTTTGGGTTATAATCAAACTAGAAAATATGTGCTTCAAATTCCAACATCATAACCTTCTAGTATTATTTGACCATAAATTTCTTTATAGGTGTTGAATTAAGGTTATTCTTGATTCTATAGAAAGTTAAAAGATAAGGCTAAAATTTTATGTTGAGCATTCAACCCAGTTCAATCTTCATCAAGGTGAAAAAAGTTAGCTACAAGTTTTGGTTTCTAAGGGTAACTGGAATTGATAGCCTAACTTTGTGTTAGTATTTTAACCATAATGGTTCTTGTAGATGTTGGATTGAAGTAGTTCTCAAATTTATGGAAAGCTAAGAGATGGTGCTACAATTTATTTATTGAGAATTTACCCCAGTTCAGTTGTTGATAAGGTGAAATTTTAGTTGACATATCATGTTCTAAGTAGACCAAAAATTGTTGATTTCTAGGCTGAATGTAACCTTTGTCCAAGTGATTTCTAGAGGTTGTTTTCCCTTTATTTAGCGTAAGATTTTTTTTCTAGTTTCCTTCAACTTTCAACCTAAATTTATTCTCCTTGTAAACAAGTGCAACATGTCTTAAGTGATAGCAACTCGGATGACTCCTAAGTTAAATATCCAATTTGATCCTTGAACCTTCACTTTTAAATCAAATTTATCTTTGAACTTCAAAAAGTATTAAAATTATTCTCAAACTTCAATTTTTGGGACCAATTTAGTCTTTCTTTCGTTGGAAGTGCTAGCTAGCCTATTAACTTGACATAAAAATTAGTTTTTTTTTAAAAAAAAATTTTGATGACATGCAAAATGCTACAACCATCTTTTGCCACCATGGCAATTTTTACTTTCCATAAAGCTTGTGTAAGACCCATATCAATATTTCTTAATTTTTTTTTTCACTTTGATTCTCCAAAGATTGTAGT